ACTCACCCACTCCGGTTAATGTAGTATTTCTAAGAGTAGCTAAGTGCTTCTATCAAGCGGAATTTTCGAGGGTCAAAGGAGGAGGATTCAAAGATTACATCATTATGTTAAATCCCAAATGAGCTTTCTCAGTGCATTTACAATGCTGCTACCTATTTCCCCGAGTGTCCTTTACTGTATGCTTATGTGAAAAACAAAGCTAAGCAGGAGTGGGAATTAAAGGCAGAAGGTAAGTCTTCCTCCTCTCCCCACTCTCAATTCCTATGCACCCTTCCAGAAACTTTCTGTGTATGTAAAAGCAGATGACCATCTAGGACACAGTGCTCCAACTGCTTGGAGATGCTTATAATCCTGAAGCTGCCCTCCACCCCCATCAGCACGTAAGGATCTACTTGTTTTCAAAAGTCTATACAGCATTTTCTGTTTAGCTGACCAGCCCTAGGGAAGGGATAAACTGTTGCTGCAAGAACATCCTTGTTTATACTGGTCTCCCAAAAGAGGACGTCAATTTTCCCCAAGGGCATAGGAGAATGCCTACCATTTAAAAAACAAAGCAAAACCTTTTGATTAGAATCAGAATAGACCAAAAGTGACTAGAGCCTCCAGTGATCAGAGTCAATGTTTTCTCTCTCATCAGATAAAGAATCACTCTGTTGCTCTAACAGGTGAACCTGTACTGGGGAAAGGCAACCACCACCAGAAAGCCTAGCTGATCACTCGCCTCTGAAAGGGCTTCCCAAGCCTTGGAGTCAGGAGTTATTTTCTTAAACACCCTTCTTGGATTTTGGGTTCACACCCAAATCCAAGCCTTGCTCTCAGTACTCACCGTGAGTCAAATCTGGGCGTCAGGCCTGGAGTTGGTTTCACCATAGACAGCTCCATTCGGCCCACAGCTGGGGTAACAGTGCTATAATTGCTTGACCTACAGGTAAGAAACGGCCATTAGGTGCGCAGCAGCAGCAGGGGCAGGTAGCACTTGGAGAGCAGTGACCTTGTCAGATACTGTCATGAGCACCTATGTAAACGTGTAACGCTCCCAACAACCCTATGAGAAGCACCATGGTTATCTTCATTTATAGATACAGAAATTTATTGACTTTAACTTGCCCAAGATCACACAGCCAACTAGGACAGAGCCAAAACTCTGGACCCAAGCAGTCAACCTCCAGAATCCAACCCCTCAATCAAGCTAACAGAGTGAGAGGAAGGAGACAGCCCCTCACCAGCTGCAGGCCCCCCAAGAACCCCTAGGTGTGGTTCTTGTCCTCTTGTTAGGCAGTTACCACTGCTCAGACAGAACTGAGAGGAGTCCACTCCTTCACAGACACCCCCCCATGACTACTTTCCTAAGCTTGCTTGAGATGTAGCCCCACTCCCAACAGTTTAGTAGGGCCTCCAGAATCAGGTTAAGCCCATGGTGATTATTTGGCAGGACCAGGAGGAATAGCTGAAGAAACTACCTGTTGGTAAGTGACAGCTACCTTGTGACTGACCATGGGGCAGCTCTGCACATGGACTGTCAGGCAACTAAACAAAATAATATGCAATGTCTACCACGTTTCTGGGTTCCATTCTCCGTTTGCATCGAAAAGTGGGGGGAGGATAGAGAATGTGGGCAGGTGCTGGGTGAGATAATTTCTAGAGGCCCCAGGTCAGATACTCAAGGATTTGACGGCTTGAAGCTCTACCAGAACACAAGCCACAAAGCCCTCTCACCGCCTAGTTCTGCCAGGATGAATGTGGCTTCTCCAATAAAACCAACACACAGCTGAACCGGGAAAACCCATTACCTTTTGCTTTTGCCTCTTGCTTGTATGGACTGGGTTCTCTTCCTGGATGCGGGGCACCTTTTGACCTGGAGTGACAATCAAATGAAACTGAGGTTACACAAAGCCTTTCCTTCAAAGGGTAAAGGTAAGGGGTAGGGAACCAGCTCTGGAAAAGAAACCTAACACTGAACATAAGAAGGTCTATCTCGCAGACTTAAGTAACTCAGAAAATAATTGATCAACTAAGGCCTTATACTTGCTTGGTTTTCAAAATAGAGAATTTTGGCCAAGATTAAGGGTAAATGTCATTTAAATTGATTGCAGCCTGGCTGGTCACCCCCCACCCTGACTTTACATAAAGTGCGACTCAGATCACTATGGGCATCCCAGGTGCCCAACAGAAGGAACCCTCAGCAGTCCTCATCCCTCCGAGTCCTCAGAGACACCTGACAAGAACTACTCCTTACCTTCTGATGATTCTCTCCTCCCTCACCTCCCCAGATTGACCCACCTTCCCTGCTTCTGTGCTGCCCCTGCCTCACAGGCTCCTCTTTCTCCCTCACCCCCTCTCCATGATCTCCGCACACAGCACCAACTCCCACACTGGGACAACCACCTAAAGATCTGGGAGTCAGTGGGACTTTCAATCTCCTCCTCTGAGCTCCAGGCTGAAATTTTTGTCTAGTCTCCATGTCCTAGAAAAGTATTAAATGCTCAGTATGTCAAACAAATGACACCTGAACTGTTCCCCTTCACCGGAACCTAGCACCACTCTTCCTCCTGTGTCCCACATGCCACCCATGGCAATTGCCTAAGCTAGAAACCATTTAGTACCTTCTCACCCCCTAGTTCTCGCCTTCCCCCCACCAATCTTGCCCACTCTCCCTTTTAAGTCTTATTTCAATGCCATTTCTTTTTATAGGGTCAGAGCCTCCCTACTGGTTTCCTTCTCTCTAGTTTTCCCCTACCATTTACCCCGAATACTATTCTGAAATATGGATCTGGTGATGTCACCACTACCTACCTGATGAAACTTCCAAGCCTGGTGCACAAGGCCATTCATTATCTGCCCCACTCTACCCAAATTACCCTCACAGCTTCTATCCCAGCCACTTCAAACTGCTTCCTGTTCCTTAAATGGACACTTTCATACCTCCTCCCAGAACTCCCTTCCCTTTCTTTTCCAGCTAATGAAATCTCACTTTAAAGGCCTGGCTGTGTCCTAAGGGGGTAGGTAAGACTCAATAGCTTCCTCTTCTACACACTTTGCACATCTATGATAGCTTTTGTTATTAGCCATTTAAGTGGGATCTTCTGTACTAAACTGTGGAGTCTGGGAGGGCAACACCACATTTTGCAGACTTTGTGTTTCCGTCTGTCAGCCCACAGCCCTAAATCTGAACCCACTTACTCTGGCAGTTTGAAGTCTCTTATTTTTACTTTCTTCTTCTTCTTCCTCTTCTATCATTTCTTCCACTTGTATGACCTTTCGTGCTACAAGAAACAGTTTAACAGAGTGACGTTTCTCGTGGGAATAAACTTTCATGCATTCACATTTCTTATAGGAAAGAAAACTTAAGCAATCTTAGGCTGTAGGCTAGAAATAGACCCAATATAAAGATCACTTTTTTAAAAAGAGGGTTTAGACAAAGGAAACTAACCAGAGTGGTTAAGAAGCCCATATGATGCCCTGTATGGTCTGCCCAGCATTCTGATTAAGAATGTAGACTGTGGAGTTGGGCAGACATGAGTTTGAGGCCTGGCCCTGCCACTAACTAGGCCACATGGTTTCATGGCAGTGCCTCAGTTTCCTCATCTATAAAAGGGCGTAGTCATTTTATAGGGCTACTATGAGACCTGGAACGTGGGCTCCCTAAGAACAGGGTCTTTGTTACTTTTATTCCTACATCCCAAACCCTAGAATTGTCCCTATAAATGTTTAAGTATTTCCGGAATGAACGAATGTAAAGCCCCTTGGACAGTACTGGACACGTTATAATTGTTATTAGTTATAATATTATTTATGTAGATGCCACAGGAAAACTTAGAAAGTGTCTCATTGCAAGTATGTATTGCCAGGAGCCAGACATCCTGAACAGGGATTCCATGGAGAAAATTCTGCATGTAATCATAGGGGAAAAGAGAGCTCAGACTAAATGACTTTTAAGTTTTGCATTTTTTTTAAAAAAAAGTTTACCATGCAGCGGACAAGAGAAAACAATTTTTACTGTTTGCTGACACTGGTTCTGGTGTGTTCAGTTCCCAGGGGTGAAATCAGAAGACACCCCTCCCCCAAGTAAGCAATATTGGTGGAATTCAGAAGAGAAACTGATACTGCCTAAATGTAGAAATAACCCAAACTGACCTAACAGATGGTAAATATGTGGCTAACAAACTCTAGGAACACCCAAGTGCAATTACATTATAACCTCTGGGATATGACACCTGGAATATGACATCTGGAAAGCAAAAATGATGCCAAGGTTGAATCAGATGGTCAGGACAGCCTCACGAGTTGGATGCACTGAGCTGCCAAAGCTTGATGACAGCGACAAGTCCACAGTAGAGCTCATCCTAGCCTGACTCCATGCTCACTAATTACAACCCGGCTTCCCCAAAACCTTCCCTATGAGACAGTGTTTCTCAGTGTGGGGAGTATCTGTGAGAGACGTTTATATGATGGGTCACTGAATCAAGTGACATGGAATTAACATGTGGAGAAGGTCTGTTTCCAGTTCTCACTCAGCCCTCTGATCAGGGAGTCTCAGCTGGTATGGCCATGTCTTGTAGCACCTCTGTAAATCTTGCTAACCTCTCCAATTCAGGGGAAGCAAGCAGACAACAGGTTTGGTTTTCAGCACAGCGTTTGTTTTTCTCCTTTCCCTTCCACTCACACACTGGTCTGGAGGGTTTGGTTAGTATCGCTCTTGCATATAATTAACTGGATACAGCACCCAAAATCAAATTTTCGAATTACAAGACTAAGGAGCAGACATTAGAGCAGGGGCAGGGAACACACCGCCCATAGGCTGTACACTGCCTGCGAAATCATTTGTTCGGGGCCTGCCAAGGCAACCGCAGGTGGGACTCGAAATTCAGTAAATCTAGGAGTTTTTTTCATAGCTCATTTTTAAGTTAATATTTTGTATGGCCTGCGAATGATGTTATAAGTATTCAAATGGCCCTTGGCAGAAAAAAACGTTTCCCACCCCTGCATTAGAGGGAAGAGGCTCCATCTGTGAGGCCTCCCTGAGCAGCAGCCAACTACCCTGGGCCTCAGCTCTCTCAGTTCAACAAGGGATTTTGAAAAGTACTCACTTCTGGCAGATTTCAGGGGTGTCTGAATAGCTTCTGCTGTTAGTTTGTTTATTTCTGTGATATCCAGGTCAGCCTGTGACAAACACAGCCAAAAATCACCAGGCATAGTCCATCAAATACGAGGAACAATATTTTAAAATGAAAAACAATTACTTTTAAAAATGTCATTGAATACAGTCAAAGATTGTTAATTACAACACAATATAATAGACTCCCATAAGTCAAGACCCAAAACACTGACAATAGCTTGCTCCTTCCTAGCTATGTATTCTTCTGTTCCATTTCCTTGTCTCTCCCTCAAAGGTGACCAGTCTTCTAAATCTGTCATTCTCCAAAGATAACCACTACCATTCCATTTTCTTGAAATAAATGTGTGTGTGTGGGTGTGTATATACATATTTCCACAAATGTATCTGTGACTAAATAATATTTTGTTTGGTTTTGTTTCTGACCACTGTTTGTGGTTGCAATTAATCTCTTTTCACTACTATAGAATATCCCACTGTGTGATTCTATCAAAATGGATTTGTCCAATCTCCTGTCCAGTCTTTTGTTATTATAAACACTTTGAACTGTCATACGTATATGTCCAAGTTTCCTCTTGACTATATACTTAGAGACAGGACATTACAAGGTTGTAGGGTACACAAATAATTATGCCAAATTATTTTCCAAAGTAGTTACAAGTGTTTCCATTCCATGAGCAAACAATACAAGTTTCTAATGACCCACAGTCTCTGTAACACCTGGTGCTGTGTCAAACTGCTCATTTTTCTCTTTTTAAGCCTAGGGGGTCAATAAGATTTTCTATTATGTTCCTGGGCCCTTCAAAAAGGCTTCCAGTTGCCCTTCTAATTAAACTTCTTCCCAGTGATGACTACCTATGTATATGGGACTAGTCAAGAGCAGGCATGATTCGTAGGCCTTTCCTAGCAGGGCATGCGTAAATATCAGAATAGTTGTTACAGACTAGGAATGACACAGGTTTCATCTCTGGGTTGGGAGGGACTACATGGAGTGCTCAGAGACGGATTCTGAGACTCACCAGGTTTAACAAGAAACAGTGTTGTAACAGATTAGTGATATCCAATGTGGTTTATGGAACGGGAAGTGATGGCCAACTTTCTGCCAACTCTAAAACAAGCTGGCATGTTATGAAAGTATCACTGGTAGCAGGCTACTGATCACCTAACGTGCAGAAGAGTTAACAAGCCTAAGACTGATATCCATGGAAAGACCTGTTTACATGGTTGGCCAGTGGCTGGCACAAAACTTGGATTTCAGGGTTCCCACTATACCCTGGTAAGAGTGGTTCCCTGTGCCTAAGATTTGTACAAACAATATGGTTTTTTGCTGAACACCTGCTTTCCTTCTGAAGTTCAGAATTTTGGTATTGCTAGGCAGATGATGACTGTGTGACCAGCCCCCAATAAAACCCTGGGCATTGAGTCCCTAATGAGCTTTTCTGGTAGGTAATGAGTTGAATTAAGCATGTCCTGTGTGATTCCATTGGGAGAGGGCTCCTGGAAGCTTGAGTCCTCTGGACTCTGCCCCATGCACCTTTTCTTTTTGCTGATCTGCTTTGTATTCTTTCATTGTAATAAATCATAGCAGAATACAACTATAGTAGCCCCCCTTCAGCCTCCCAACGGTTTCACTTTCTATGACTTCAGTTACCTGTGGTCAACCAGTAAAATATTAAATGAAAAATTCCAGAAATAATCCACAAGTTCTAAATCCCATGCTGTTCTGAGTAGGTGATAAAATCTTGCATCGCCCAGCTCTGTCCCAGGACATGAACCCTCCCTTTATCCAGCATCTCCATGCTATATATGCTACCCACCCACTAGTCCCTCAGTAGCCATGTCAGTTATCAGATCACTGGTATCGCAGTACTTGTGCTCAAGTCACCCTTATTTTATTTAACAATGGCCCCAAGCAAAAGAGAAGTGACGCAGGCAATTCAGACAGGCCAACGAGAACTGGAAAGTGCTTCATTTAAGTGAAAGGCGAGTACAGTACAGTAAGATGTTTTGAGACACAGAGACCACATTCTTACAACTTTCATTACAGTATATTGTGAAAATTGTTCCATTTTATTACTGTTAATCTCTTACTGTGCCTAATTTATAAATTAAACTTTATCATAGGTACGTATGTACACATAAAGTCCCCTATGGAACTTCTTTCACAGTAAGCACTCACTGGTTGGATTTTGTTAACAGACCCAACTTAAAAAAACAAAAAAACCTAACCAACAGTTCCAAAATAGGAAAAGTCACTTACCGTTGCTGCCTCTTCCAGGGCCTGCTTGTTTCCTCCAAGGGCTTTAAAAAGAACATTTTGTTCAGTTACTGTCAGATTTTAATGATAAATCATTTTCCCATGACCAGTTATCTTTCTAAAGCTGGACCAGATTAAGTTCTTGCTCTAACACTCAAGGACCTTCATAATCTAGTCTAGTATTTTTCCAAGCTTGACTTGTCCCCCTAGTGACTCAGTCTATTGTTCTACTACACCAAAAAGTTCCTGTTAGTTCCCAAGTGTGCCACTGTCTTTCGTGAATCAGTGCCCTGGTATTTATTATTTCCTCTGCCCCAAATATTCCTCTGCACCCAACAAATTTCTAATTCATCCTTTGAAACTCAGCTGAAACCCAAAATTCTGCTAATTTGTCTATTACAGCAGATTGCTGCAAAGTGCTGAGTTAGGTGTTCATCCCCTCACCCTACCCAACAACTACTCAGCAGTTTAAGTGTCCACCTGTCTTGAACTGAATTCCTTGAGTATAGAGATAATATCCTTAGTTTCTGGCAAAATGTGACATACAGTAGGTAGATGGCAAATGTGTGTTGAATGAAGAGGTCTGTGCAAGGTTAGATATAGAATATAAAGTTAGGTTCGGTCTTCCTGCTAGAAACTCTCACAGTATCCTGTATGACCGTTAAGAACTCAGGCTTTGGAACCAGAATACACTTGCATTCAAACGGACTCTGCCACTAACCAGCTCATGAGATCTTGAGTAAAGTAACCAATCTTTCTGTGCCTTAACCTTGTCATCTATAAATTAGGAATAATTTTAATAATAAATTTGTTATGAGGACAAAATTAGTTAAAACAGCAAGTCCTTGAAAAACAGTTTTCATTCAACATCATTTCAATGGGACTGATACGTGCTCAATGAACACTTCTAAAAATGTGCAAACAAGTAGATTAGTAAGTGCAAGGGCAAGCCAAAAGGATCATTAAATGTCTACTATCTGAGGAGATGATGTATTTCTATCCCAGAAGGCGGCTACATACTGGGTAAATAATAATAAAGAAAATAAAAATGTAAGGGTAACCCAGCAGAAAGGACAGGCTCTTGCATTTCTTTGGACATTTAACAAAGGGGTGGGATACAGGCTGGGATTTTCTCTGGCCAGGAAAACTCTTGGGTCCTTGCACTTCACAATTTGATTTGCCCATTTTATTTTTTCTAAACAAATGTGCTCCCTTTATTTTGTTAATCTTCACCTAAGGATATTTCTTCCATTGATTTTTAGAGAGTGGAAGGGGGGGAGAGGGAGAGAGAGAGATTTGAGAGAGACACATGGATTGGTTGCCCCCCACCTGAGCCTCCAGTACGGTGGTGGAAATCAAACCTGCAATCCGGGTACCTGCCCTTGACTGGGAATCGAACCCATGACCCTTTGGTACTCCGGCAGGTGCTCTAACCACTGACTCATGCCGGTCAGGGCAGATTTGCCCATTTTAAATCAGCAATTTCTATAAGCTGCAGAAAGCATCCTATCCTTTCATTTGAGTTCTGGTAACAGACCAACTTATTCATTCATTTGTAAATGGTTGGCTAAAATACCAAAAAAAAGATTACTTCCTGACACATGAAATTTATGTGAAACTCCTATTTCAGCGTGTGTGTAAGTAAGTTTTATTGGAACACCGCCATGCCCATTCATTACAGCTCTTTTGAACTATAACTGCAGAGGTGAGTTGCACAGATAATCCTCTGGCCCAGGAGGCTTAAGATATTTACTTTCTGGTCTTTTATAGAAAATATTTGACTATCTGCAGGGGTAGCCAACGGTAGGTGCTAAGATTAAAACAAAAAAACCAGAGACATGAGATAGGGAGTGGGAGGAAACATTGTCTGCCATTTCCTGTAGCGACCACGGGAGACCTGAGCAAGGTGAAGGCCGAGGCGGTAGGCAGGGGGCTCCAGGGCGAAGCTTACCGAAGTAGTCGAGCCAGTTCATCTCGCGCAGCGCCTTGGGGAGCCGCAGGATCTCGATGTTGTATATGTTATCCATCTCCTTGAGGAGGTTCATCCTGTCTGACTGAATCTGCTTGGATCGGATTTGCACTGCGACAGGGTAAAGTCGACGGAACACGGTCACCCGGCGGGGGAACGGAGCCTGGAATCCCCCAATCCCCCCGCTCCCCGCGACCGCCCGGAGGAGCCGCGACGACCCGGGCTCGGCCCCTTACCTTCACGGTCGAAGTCCTTCAGGAAGGAGGCGAGCTTCCTGCTCCGCAACGAATTGGTCTTGGTCACCCGACTGCTGCCCTTCCTAGCCGGAGCCATGGCGCTTCGGGAGCGGCTGCGGGGAGCGCAAAACCGAGCCACAAGGGGTTAGAGGCGGAGGCGGGGAAGGGAAAGCAGGGGGCCGCGAAGGCGCCGGAGAGGGCGGACGGGTGCCCCAAAGGGTCAGCGGAGAGGGGCTCACCTTCGGAGCCCGGGCGTCAAGAAGTCTCGAGGAACGTATCCGCGGGTCCCAAAACCAGGGCTGAGAAAACCCTCGCAGCTCAGGCTGAAAGGGAGCGGCTCAGGAGCCAACAGCACGTACGACCGCCGTCGCGAAATTCAAACTGCCACAGGCTGACGAATGAGAAGTCGCCGTCTTAGAAGGCGGGCCCACGACATCCAATCACAAGGAAGCTCCCCGTCAGCCGCCGGCTCACACGTAGGACTACAGTACCCAGAAAGCTTTGCGGCCTTACGACATATTTTCGCGACCTAACTGCGTAGGGGGCCTGCTCGTAGACACTGCGGGCCGGCGCCGGCCAGCGGCTCCTGCGGGTCTTCAAACTCGGATGCTCTTTAACTTTAAAATTTTCCCGCTGGTTTCAGGGAAGCGGCCGGCAGTCTCAGGGAGAGGACACAAGATTCCTAAGCACAGGTCCGGCGCTGGGGAAAACGGGCTTGGGCCCCGGGTATCCGCAGTCTGCAGCAGGAGATGCTCTAGCCCCAGACGAGCGCCTTCCTGGGCCCTCCCCGAGGTGGGAGACACGGGCCCCGCCTTCCGAGAGCCCCTCCAGAGGTAAGACTCCGCCTCGCACCAGGAGCACCTGTCGGAGGGGATAGACAGCCCTATCTGAGGAAGCCCTGGTTTAGCTGAAACTCAGAATGGAAATAACTCCTACCCTTGACCTGATACTTCCCCTACCAACTTGGCACCCGAATGCTGTTTTGTTTTTTTGTTTTTTTTCCCAGCAGAAGATGACTCAGGACCGGCCTCTGCTTGCTGTGCAGGAGGCCCTGAAGAAGTGCTTTCCGGTGGTGGAGGAGCAGCAGGGCGCGTGGCAGAGCACCCTGAGGGACTGCCGGCCCCTCCTGGCCTCCCTCAGCAACCTGGCGGAGCAGCTGCAGGCGGCGCAGAATCTGCGGTTCGAGGATGTGCCGGCGCTGCGGGCCTTCCCAGGTTTAAAGGAGCGGCTGAGGCGCAAGCAGCTGGAGGCGGGTGACACTGTCCTGGACAAGCTAGGCGAGAGGCTGTAAGAGATTCCGTGGCGCTCTTTCTTTGAGGAAAGATTTTAAAACCGGGTGTTCTATAAGTAGCTAGAATCGGCCAGGAAGAGGTTGTCTTCTTTACTTGAGAGCATGGCCTCTGGAGGTGTGTCAGCCTTACGTCTTTTGCATCTATTGCAGTGGGACCCCTGTCAGAAAACCATTTTCTGGCCTTTCCCCTGTCAGAGGCTAGGCATGGCAGTGATGGACTTGATGGAAGTGTAAAAAGTAAAACAGAAAAGCAGTGGAGAGTGCTTATTAGCTCTTCTCTATAGTTTTCTTTGGTAAAAAGCAGTGAGGAGCTACAGTTGACCCTTGAACAACAAGGGGCTTAGTGATGACCTCCCACACAATGGAAAATCTACCTATAACTTCAGTTGGCCCTTCCCAAACATGGATTCCCAACCGAGGAGTAAACCTTTGGACAACTTGTTTGAGCTTTGTTGGTCAGTTAAAAGAATCCGTGCATTAGTGGACCTGTGCAGTTAATTAAAGCCCATGTTGTTTAAGGGTCAACTGTATAGTGTATACTTGGTGGGTGTCAGAGCTCAGGGTTTTGCATATATTATTGCATAAAATCTTTTCAGCACCTCTGTGACTTAACCTCACTTACTTCCATTTTGCAGGTGAGGAAACAGGCTCAAACAGACCGCCTCTGGTCTCACAGCTAGTAAATAGTAAAGCTGGGATTCTAACCCAAGTGTGCCTGACACCAAGGCCAGAGCTCTTAACACCACTTGGTTCTGTTGTACATTGATGTCTCTGCACCCAGAAGTAGCACATTTGTCAGCCCTTGTTATGCCTAATGTTAGACTCTCTATCTCAGAGTTACAGGTTATGAAGATAGAGAAAAGACAGGGCACATGTCACCTTCCCTTGGCCAGAACAAAACACGGTTCTAGTGTGTAGAGTATGTGCCATAGACTAATATGAAACTGCCAAAAGTGTATTCATTTGTACAAAATACATTTATTCATTTGTACAAAGTACATTTATTAAGCACCAATGGGATGCCAGGTACAAGGTGCTGGGAATACAACAATGAACCTGATTTAGTTCCTTAGTTGAGTACAAGAGATAGTCAATTAAGTTATGTCATGGTACATTCTAAGATAATACATTTTTATTTCAATTGATTACACATTTGTGTGTGGATATTGGGCTGTTATTACAAGTCTATTTTTAAATTGCGGGTCATGGTCATACGTTTTTGAAAGCCACAATTCTGGCTAAGGAATGCCTTATCCTTTGGGAAATTGTAACCTTTGTCTTGGTGGCTGGGCTCCTTGGAGTCACCAATGGAGTAACAACAATATTTGCCATAACCTGGGAACTTCTCTAAGCATTTTATGTGCATTATTGCATTTAATCTTCACAATAACCCCTTTTATTCATCCAACAAGTGTTTGTTCTCTATGCCAGTCTCAATGTTCTAGGTACTTAGGATGCGCAGTGAGCAAAACACTGGTTTTATATGTGACTGAGAATAAGTAACTTTCCTAAGTCCACAGTAGTCTGTGTGTACTGTGAGCCTAAACTTGGGGCAGGGTAGCATGTGGATAGTGCTGGTTTGTTGCTTCAGTTTCCTCCTGTCCCCTGTTCACATACATGGCATGAACTCTGTGTGAGCAGTTGCTTTTCTTACACACCTTTATAGCAGCCCCAGACGCCCCTTCGTCTTTACCTTCTTTGACAGCTGGGCTAATCACGCAGCTTTGAGAGCCATGTAACTTGTTCATCTTCTCCATTTTTAAGTCAGTTCTTAATTCTTGAGCCACCCCTACCTCCAAAGCACTGTCACCAACCTCCTTAGACAAATAGGTATCATTTGGAGGCAGTTCTTCCCCATAGGGACGTTTGGCAATATCTGGAGACATGATTAATTGTCACAACTTGGAGAGAGTGGGCATGGTTTGGTCCTATTGTCTAGTGGGCAGAGGCCAGGGATGCTGCTAAACATCTTACAGTGCACAGGGCAGCCCTCTGCCACAAAGATTCATCTGGTCCAAAGTGTCAGTGTGCTAAGGGTGTGGAACCTGCCTTAGGCCTTTCTCATGATAATGCCTAACATCAGACCCTTTCCCCCAGAGCTGCCCTCCTCAAGGTGCGTGACACTGTCAGCAGCCACGTGGGACAAGTGCTTCAGATCTATGAGCAGCATGCAGACACGATCGGCATTGACGCTGTCCTGCAGGCTTCAGTGGTGAGCCCGTCTGTGGCTGACATGTTGGAGTGGTTGCAAGATATTGAGAGGCACTATCGAACTTCATATCCTTTGCACACATTTCAAATAGTGTCCAGGGCTATTCTAGGCAGTCTTTTAATTTCATTTATCACAGGATTACAGAATTGTATAGTATGCATCAGTTCTCTTTGGCTCCTGAACTTGGGTTCTTCTACAGTTATTTCTCATTTATTGAGTAGCTGCTACCTGCCAGACATTATTCTAGTTGCTGGGAGATAGGCAATAAAACATAGAATGACAGATGGTGATGAGTGCTGTGGAGAAAAATAAAGCAGAGAAAGTGAGGGATGAGGGTGAGGTGGTGATTTTAAATAGGGTGGGCATGGCAGGCTTCACCGAGAAAGTGACATTTTAGAAAAGACATCAAGTGCAGAGGCCCTGAGGTGAGAGCATGCCTGATATATTCAGGAAATGAGGCCGTTGTGGCTAGAGCAGAGTGAAGAAGGGAAGCCTAACAGGAGATGCAGTCAGAGAGATGGGGCTAGATCTTGGAGGGCCTTGAGGTCTTTGAAAGGATTTGGGCTTTTACTCTGAGTGAGATGGAAAGCTTTTAGGTTTTTAACATAATCAAACCTGTTTTTAACAAAAACAACTTGGTTTTGTTCTGAGGGAGGACTTGGGGTGGTGTAGGGCAAGGGTAGAAGCTGAGAGATCATTTAGTTGGAGTTCTGGCCTTTTTCTCTCGATTCTTGCCTTATACACTGGCTGAAGTTTCTACCTTCATTTGAATAACCCCAATTCCAAGCTTTATTTTTGCCTCTTGTCTTGATTTTCAGTTTCCTGTTGATGTCTCCAACTGGATTGCAGACTCAGATTTAGCATTGAACTCCTCTATCTAGCCCTCGCATTCTACCCCCTTTTCCCTTAGTTGTCGAATCAATCCTGTTTAGACACCCAGTCTGGAGATGTAAGCAATACCTTGCTCCTTTCCCTGTTTCCTTTTTTAATTGCAACAGTAGCAGCAGCAGCAGGGTGGTAGCAAGCGGAGTAGCCGCATCTAACATTACTGAGCGCTCACTGTGTGCCAGGTACTGTTCTGAGCATGTTTACACACTCACCTGTCAAGTCCTTGGATTCTATTTTCCTGGTGCATTTTGTATTTTCCTTCTCTATCCCCACTGCCTCTTCCATAGTTTCTTACCTCTCAGTTGGACTTTTAATCACATGGAGCCTCTTGGCAGGTTTCTCTGTCTCTAGCTTCTTTCCCTCTAAGCCACCCCCAATGAGTGACTTGACCCCATATTTCTTCAGGAGGTTAAGTTCCAATCCTATTGCTTGTATAGGAATTTTTGGTAGCTTCTGTTGGGAGGAGGGTAACACAGAATCCCCATGCTGGGCTGCAGTGTTCTTTGTGTTCTGGCTCCACCTGCCTTCGCAGCCACCTTTCCTCCTACTCTCCTCATTGTTCCATGGCAGGCAGACTGGAAGGTTTACTTGCCCCTGAATCCATCCCAGACTTCCCCACTTCTGTGCCTTTGCTCATGCTTTTCCTACCAGCTGGAATCTCCCTGCTACCCTCTAAACTTGATGTTAGACTTCCACTGACTTTTCTCTCGTATGTCCCTTAGATTCTTTCCTTTCAGTTTCTGGTTTTTCCTCACCGTGGTGAGATCCTGGATTGCAGGGGCAGTTTCCACTCCTCTGTCCCTGAGCACAGAGCCATGTGCTTGAAGAGGCGCTCAGTAAAGATTTGTGGCCTGGGCCAATCCTGCACCCCGGACAATTTCATGATAGCTGCACTTTCACTTTTATGCTCTGTAGCTCTCTCTGGGGTATTTTCCCCCCCTTTCAACATATTTCATCTTCTTTTGGAGCAGTCCTTAACTTCTAGGAAGGTACCTGAAGAGAAAGTACCTCCTGTCCTCAATCCAGTGGGGAGACTTGGCAAACATCCAAGCTCTGCCCAAGGCCTGGGACCGGATTTCCGAAGATGAACACCAAGACCTGGTACAAGGTACTTGGCTTATCCCTTTATGTCTTCCTCTCCTCCTTTCTGTCCCCATGTCTCACTTTGGGAGCATGGAGATGCCCTCATAGTGCTTCTGTCTCTTATCAATCTGATGTTTGTGTTCTCTGGAGAGGTGCTATGTCACAGGTTCTCTCTTCCTATTCCAGATATCCTATTGAATGTTTCCTTCTTCCTGGAAGAGTAAGGAAGCTGTGTGTTTATCTGGAGACCAGGGGGACACAGTTGAAGAACCACAGTGCTGTACTCTGACTTAAGAAATGTCAGTGTTGCAACTGGACATATTTGAAAAATCGTCTACAGCCTAAGGACTGGCTCTTGGGAGAATTGTGCTAGATGTTTCTGGCTTTGGGGCTTCTCCCTGCCAGGTCATGGCTGAGGGTACATGAGCCACTCCTCGCCCTTTCCTAAGGCTCAGGGGAGTGGGTGGAGGCGGAGACAATGCAGGAAAGGCACCGAAGAACACTGGGGACAGAAGCAGTAGCACAGAAGTGGCTGGAAGGAAAGGACGGGATAAAGAGCAGCATCGCCCTCTGCGTCATCCAAAGCTCTGAGCCTGCTTGATACCAAGTCCTGGTTTTGTGCATTTGTGTCAACATCTGATTCCTTGACGAATGAGGAAGTGACTTTGATGATTTAAAAAAATAAGCATGATGTTGATAGAAAACAATAATTGTTTTCCAAGTACAATAATAGCTCCTTGTCGTCAAGCCAATTTCACTTTCCAGAGCCTACCACCAGGGGGAGGTGGTGCGGCATGAATGATTCTGAGTGCTTCGTTGTGAAGGGTTCCCATATTGCTCTTACTACGTGAGAGTAAGTAACTGGGGATAGTGGGACTCCTCAAATGACAGGGGGTTTATGACCAATGCTGGCAGCTGACTTGCCACTTCCCTCTGATCTTGAGTGAGGGAACACCAGCCCATAGTCAGGTGATCAGGTCTTATGATGTGTTCTAGAGACAGATGAAAGAGAGCCCTGGAAGGGTTTATAGTTCAACCAGAGAAAGATCTAAACCAGTGTTTCTCAAGCTTTAATGTGCATATAAGTCCCTGGTGTCTTGTTAAGATTTAGATTCTGATTCTGTAGTGCTGGGGTGGGGTTCTATACTCTATTTCTAATGAGGTTCCAGGTAATGTTGATGATCCAGGGGCCAGACTGAGTTGAAGAGATTTAAATTGTAATACAATAATAAAAACGTTGTACCTGAGGTAAAAACAGAATGCTTTGGGAGAAGAGAGGTGATAACTGCTGGTGAGAATGTCATAGTGACTCTCAGTTAGGCCTGAGGCTGATTTTCCTTGGGGCCAGGAGAGGAGTGCAGGGCAGTCCATGCACAGGGTCAGGCTAAGCAAAGTGTGCTGTGTACCAGGCATTGTGCTTTATACACAATTCAAAGGGTATGAGAGCATTTTGATTGAAAAGTTCTCCCCCAGTTACTCAGTTCCCTTACCTGGAGGCAACCATTGTTTAGTGTTTTTGGCGTATCCTTCCAAAAATATGATTTGCCTGTACAAGTGCAGTGGTGGGTAACTGCAGAGATAGCCAGCACCAGTCCCCAATGATCTCGCACCCATGTACATCTCTTTCCTTCAGTGTGGGCTGGACTTAAAGATTTGCCTCTAGGGAATGGGATACTGCGGATGTGGTGGATGTCACTTCTGAAACTAGGTTATGAAAAGACCGTAGCTTCCATCTTGGGTGCTGTCACTCGCTGTCTTGGATCAGTCACCCTGGGGGAAGTCAGCTGCGGTGCTGGGGCAGGCCATGTGGGAGACAGATGCCTGCCAGCAACCACCCGAGTGAGCTTGGAAGCAGATCCTCTCCCCCCTAGTTGACTGCAGGTGAGACCACAGCCCCAGCTGACTGCTTGGCTACAACCTCATGAGGACCTACGCCAGAGGCAACCAGCTAAGCTGTGCCTGGATTCCTGACCCATGGAAACATAGTAAATGTTTTAAGTCATTAAGTTTTGGGGTGATTTGTTCCACAGCAATTGATAACTGATACAACAAGCAAATATGTTTTTGTGTATTCTCCATAATTTTATACAAATAGTAAAACACTATATGCCCAGTTTTTGTACCTTTTTTTCCTATTTACTATATCTTAGAGATCATTGTGTATGAATACATAAAGAGCTTCTTTAATTTTTTCTAAACCGGTCGCATAGTTTTCTGTTGTATGGACATATGATTTATTTAACTAGCCCCTTACTGATGGGCGTGTAGACTGTTTCCAAAGTCTTACTATCTGTCAGGTGTCAGCAGCCCTCCCTCTACACCACCCCGCCCGTCATGCTTTTTTTCAATTAGTTAATCCCATCCCACCCACTGTGCCCCAATTAAAAAAAAAAAAAAAGGATTCTGTTGGTATTTTTACTTGAATCATATTAAATTTAGAAATTAATTTAGGGAGAATTGTCATAGTGGGAGCCCTTCTAACACTCCTCCAACCATGCCACTGGCTTTGGGTTGAGATAGCAAACGTGAGTTCTCTTCTGTGTTTCCTTACTTGGGTAAATAGACTGTGTTCAGAACCCCCTTCCCTGTCAGTGAGAATCTGTGGGGATGAAACGAATTTAGGCCCCTTTCTTTCCTGTCTCAATCCCACCCACACTTAGAAATCGACCTCAAGATTGTTCTCGCAGGCAGAGTAGGGGCTTTTCAAAGCCAGCAGATACTAGGCTCTGAAGAGAAGGACTGTGCCCAAGGAGAGTCCAGACTTTATGGCGATTGTATTATCTTTGACTTTAACAGGATGATAGGGGCCAGGAACCATCTGCAGCTTGTTCAAGCATTGAGTTGTTAGTAATTCCTTCCCCATGTAAAAGAAGGTGGGGAGAGTGCACGTTTGGGGAGAGAAGCAGGCTCAGGTGAGGGGAAGGAGCAAGTGCGTTGAAGATCAGCTAAGGGAAAGCTTACTGAATTGCAAATGGCCCAGACCTGGGTTCAAGTCTCAGCACAAGTGACCTTGGGTAAGTTATTTCCCACCTAAGTTTCAGTTTCTTCATCTGTGTAATGGAGATGATGCATGTCCTCACAGGGTTCTATGTTTTAAGTGAGTGGAGGTGTGTGAGGCTTTTGGTAAATTTATAAACTTTTAAGGGGTTGAAATTCACTAAAGATTTATTAGTCACCTACTAGGTGCATAGCTCTGCTGTGAAACAAGTATGCTTGAGAGACAGTGTTTCCTGAGTGCCCATAGCTTGTTGGTGTCTTGCCAGAGTTTTCCCCGGGGTTTTCTTGGTTCTGGTGATAGGGGTCTTTCCCTTCCACCACTGTTTCCTCCCTGCCACAGAAGGCAGAAGCATCCCTGACACCTCAGCTGGGACAAGAGTTGGGTTTCCCGGAACACCCAGCCCTGCTCCGGACATGATTCCTCCAAACAGCAGAGGTAAGTGCAGCGCTGCCACCGGCTGGCGAGCCAGTGGCGCTGCCCGACCCGGCGTGCCAAGGCTCTCTGGGCAGCTGCAACCTTGCCAGTTACCCTCCTTTCTGATCCTGTAGCCAGGAGGGCTGGAGTGAATCCTGGGGCCATCTGCCAGTCTTACATTTTTGTCCTTTATGCCAGGGGCTGGGAAGAGAAAGCCACTGGCAGTGGGGTTGGGGTACAGGAGCTGCCCCTTCCAGGCACTCCCTCCTCCCCATCATTCCTGGAAGGCTCCCTCTTGTTTTCTACATAGTGCAAAGGAAAGTAATTTTTCCCGAGACTGGTACAGCATATTAGGGTCCCAGCCCCAGAGATTCTGACCCAGCATGTGTGGGGAAGGTCTAGGTGTCAGCCCTGTCATCAAGTACCCCTCATTTTCTTTAAGAAATAACTTTAATCCCGAGAAAGAGCAGCAGATCAGAGAGAGCTGGGTAGAGCAGGCACAAGAATTGCCCTTCTCTGGGGAAGGAACGCCTTAATAACTTCCTCGTTGCACTGCTGCTTCCCTTTTTGCTGCTTCTCAGCACCCAGCTCCTCCAGCCCAACAGGACACCAGCTCCAGGCTGCTTGGAGCGGGGCAGTGGCAAGCTGCGTGTACGGTGTTACAGCCTGCCACGTCTGCGCTCACTCAGGCCTCCCGTGTGCCCAGTGCAGAACCGGTTATCTGTGGCACTAAGTTAAATAAGAGGGCACCCAGCTGAGTGGGCCCGGCAGATGCGCAAGCCCCTTGCGAGAGGTGCTTTCATAAAGGGGTAGGGCGAGCGCAGTGGATGGAGAGTGACTGGTTCTTTTTGTGGGCTTTTGTGGAGGCAAGAAAGGGGAGTGTGAGAGCAGGTCCCCAGCAACTGAATTTCACTGGGAATCTTCCCTCGGGCCTGTAGCGGAGTGAGGGGGAGGGAGTGGGCAGGGCCACGGCCATCCCTGGGCTGGGAGCAGCCCTCTGCACCCCGGCGCGCTCCTCCCGGTTCAGGCGCGCGCAGTAGGACTCAATTTGCACAGAGAGCCCAGACTAATAAATCGTCCACTCCGCTGCAATCCCCGCAGCGCGTCTATAGGCAGCAGCTGACTTTTATCAGCTAGTCTGTTCTTTAATATAAGAGTTTTATGAGGGTCTCCTGAGCTGGCTCATAACGTGATGAAACGTCTGCAAAACTCAACCATAAATCCCCGGCACCTGCCAAGCGGAGGATGCTGTTTTCCAGGCACATTTTGTCCAGCTGGCGGCTCTGTCCCCTTGCCCAGTTTGCATTTTTGCACTTGTCTCTTTAAACTTGGATTTGTTTTTCAGCTCTCTGCGGCCTCTTTAAAGGCAACTGAGAAATGAGGGGTAGGAAAAAGGAACTAGAAAGTTACGTCTGTGCTAAAAATTACCCCTGGCTTATGCTGCTCTGAAAGCTGGTTTGGATCCTTCTGATGAGAGGGAGACATCGGGCTTCCCAGCCACATGAACCCCAGAGCGGGTGGGCTGAAGAGCAGTGCCAGCCACGCCCGTTCTTAATACTTTCATTCTTTTCTGGGCCATCACCCGTAGTAGTTGCCAAAGGGCCCTATCCTAGGTTGTCAGGTCTGTAAGTTAAGGGAACAGCTCCAGAGGCCCATTTGCCATAAGATCTCCAAGCGTGACATCTTTTCCCAGCATTTCAAGTTCCCCCAAGCCAGAGATGAAATTTAAATACCCTTCCTCCTCCAAATAAGGCAAGACCTGGACACTCTGAGGATGATGGTTGGCCGAGGTGGACTGGTGACTTGGGAAAGCCTCAGCAGAGCATGCTGTCCATTTAGGAAACGCTGGTTCATTCACCTATGTGTTCACAGGTTTCTATGTTTTGGTCTGGAGACCTGTAGGCCAGAAGAAGACTCCTGTGGCAGCCCTTCATGTGGCCTCATCCTTTGCTCTCTTTCCCTAGACCCCACTCGAGGGCAGCTTCATGGGCTTACAAGGGTCCCCAGCTTGGCCTAATGCTGTGCTGTCACCCTCTTGAGTCTCTCCATAGTTTTTGAACAAGAGGCTGGATTTTCATTTTGCATTGGGCCCTGCAAATTATGTCTCTGGTCCTGCTTCACTTCCCTCTGGCCCTACTGCAAGTCCTACTGCAAGTCCTACTGCAAGTAGCTCCTCCAAAGCTGGGGACAGATCCTCTCTCCTCCCAAGTCCAAGTTCAAGCCTGCACAGAGCAGGTTGCTTGTGTTTTGTTTTTTTTAAAAAACGTTTCCATTGATTTTAGACAGGAAGGGAGAGGGAGAGAGAGAAATATCGATTTGAGAGAGAAACAGATCGGCTGGCTCCAGCACACCCCTTGCTGGGGATTGAGCCTGCAACCAGGCCATGTACCCTGACCGGGAATTGAACCAGTGACCTTTTGGTGTGTGGGACCACGTTCAACCAACTGAGCCACACTGGCCAGGGCTTACTTGTTTTTTAGTGAGGCATCTGGCTTTGCCCCACTCCCAAAGGCTCCTGTTACCCAGCCTTCTGGTTACATCTAATCTCTACCAATCTCTATCACATGATAGTATCTCTAACCGCCCTGAAGAGGTGCCTTCCAACACCAACTCAGTAAGTGTCGTCACCTGCTCCTGGTCCCTTATTGCCTTTCAGAAGAGACTTCTAGTTAATGCGCCCCACCTGGAGGAAGCTACCTGCTCCTATGGAGGGGCTGGGGTCTGGGAGCTGGGCCGGGTGATGGAAGTGAGACAAGACAGGAGTGGACCCCACCCCAATGACACAGGCCAGACTAAGCAGAGCATCCCTCCCTTCCCCAGCCCCGCCTGGCGTGGGTTCTCAGATCCACCCGGCATTGCCACACCAGCGGAAATGGTGGTTGCTGTCCCAGCCAAACCCTAGGACTGTGGCGACAGACAGCCCCGACTGGGCCCAGCCACCACATCAAGGGCACAGCTCCACCCTCCTATTTGCACCCCCTCTAACCTCAGGCTTCCCCGCCTCTCTCTTTCCCAGAGAACCCAGCTTATAACCTCTGCTTGGGGCCAGGGTCAGCCACGGGCCTCTGTGGCTGCTGCTGCGTGGTGGAGAAGGTTCTGGACAGGGAGCTGGGACACCTACCACTCACCCTCATGGGATCTGAGCTGGTGACTTGACCTCTCTGGACCCCAGTGTCTTCATCGAAAAAAGCAAACACAAAGTGGGGCGATAGACAAAATTCAACTTCTTAGGGCTGCTACCAGTTAAATGGGCTAATTCGACTGAAAGAACATTAAATCATGTCATGCAAGTTTAAGTAAATTTCCTCTGAGGAGCAGCAGGGGGTAATGGAAGGAAGGATTTGGAAGCCACTAAGAATAATGCTGTGATTACTATTTATTGAGCAGTTTCTCTGCTTCATGCCTGTGTCTAGTGCTTTTATATCCATCACAACAACCCTGCGAGGCCGGTACTGTCTCCCAGGTTTTACAGATAAGGAGCTGATTTAAGAAGGTCAAGTGACTTCAACAAGGTCACGTAGCTGGTCTGAGATTTTAAATGTAGATGAACTCTATCTAGCCTTCCAGTCTATTGAGATGGAGCTGGCTAGGTGTCCTTAGTCAAGTCCCCTAACTCTCTGCGTCTCCATTGCCTCCCCTACACAACAAAGACCATCATCTCCCTGTGACAAGCCCTGGGATGGAAGGTCCCACGTGTGGAGAGCCCTGGGCACACTGGGTGCTTTTCCTCCCACTGGCAGCCCTGGCCTCGAGAGCCGCTTTGGGCTGGATGGGG